AACGCGTTTTCGGTGTATTTGACTTCTTCAAAAATATTAGAATTTGAAACACCAATTACTATAATTTTTTGGTTTACGTGTCATTCTACATACATCAGTTTAGCTTGATAGTCTTAATAACTGAAGAAAATTCTAAATAAAAAAATAATAATATTAGGTATTAATATTAGTAACTTATTATTACCAATAACACTCAACATATTAAGTTTAGCCTCACATTGTCATTTTTTTACTACTTATTATTTCATATATTTAAAATACCATTATCGGCGTTTATCACTAACTAGTTCTGTGACGCATATTCATAGGTATATACAGGAGCTGGGTCTCAGAGAATGGTAGATACATATATACGGCATTGATGGGTAATAGGAGGTATCAGGGTAGGATTTGGCATCAGATTTAACCTCGTCAAAGTTCAAGATAAAAGTGAGGCTAAGTTTGATTTGCCTCATTATTTTACGGGTTAGTATTCAATGTTAGCCCGATGTTGAGAGATATGAGATTTTATGCAAAGATTTTATATTAATCAATAATTATCCAGGACGAGCAGTTAATCTTTGAGAGAGTGTTTGGATTAATAAGAAAGAGTGAACATTCAATTTTAGGAAAATAAAAATTATAACCTTAGGAGCTCGATGTAACTCTCATTACTCTATCGATATTAATTCATTGTTTGTTATTAGATAAATTTTATTGTAGTAGGAAAATTTTGTAAGGAATTGTGAGCGATTTCTCTGCAATTCAGATTATTAAATTGAATTTGATTTGTTTCTTGTTTTTCAAATTGTTAATGTTTATTTCCTTTATTTGATATATATAAAAGCGAAGATTTTTTGTTTTGAAAATTTGCTGACTGCTGCTAAATTGAGGACCATCTGTCTCCAACCCTTCACATTTATCACGACTTATGTTTTTCGCATAGGGACCAGATGCCGATTATTTGGCCTGCGAGGGCGAAGGACCACGTCGCTAATATGCCTAGTGCTCTCTAATCAGCATTTATTCTATAATGTTACAGTATACTATTTGACACATATTTTGAAATAACACACTTTTCTACATTAACAAGTAAGAAATTAATTTTAAGTCATGTTAAATTTATTTATTTATAATTCTTATTATATATATATGCTTATTTTTTTGGATGGTTAAGATACAGATTTTTATTGTATATTTTTAATTGCTATTTACTCTCAATAGTATAATTTTTTTAATATAAAATTATATACTAACAATCATTTTTTATTTTGTAAATTTTACAACTACCCAAACAAATGTTTAAGCGATTAATTTTTACCAAGTTTAGTTTTTAATTTAGAGTAATCAACTTACTTTATTCGTAATGTAGTTTTAAAGTTGTTCTAATTTATACATAACTAGGTTATTAAACTCTCTGTATAAAAATAGTTTCTTATTTCCCAATTAGCGAATAGGAAATCAATAGGGAACTAACAACTAATTCTAACCTAGGACTTGAGCACTCTTTAATCTTATGTCAATTTTTTACCAAAGAGCACAATAATCAATGAGTTTTTAAAGCATCGAGCGATCTAGAGAATGCCTTAAAATATATTGGCCCCTTTTCAGTGTTGACCCTATTTTATTTGGCATTGCACACATGTCTAATACCCTTGAAATTACCTTTCTTTTTTTTTTGCAACACGTAATGCGTTCAAAAAAAACTAGTCCTAATTTTAAGCGCACTTATTCACTCTTCTCTCCTTAGCTGCAATTGCTTCTAATTTTCCTCACTAACCAACTACTAATATAATTCATATATTGTCAAGATCCAACTGAACACTTCCCTGTTTTTCAAGCATTAACCAAATTAGAACCAACACACGAGCACTCGGAAAGAGATTATAAAGATATGGTTATTGAGCAAAAAAAAGTATTCATCTTCACATTATTTTGTTGTGTACTTTATTATTGCTTAGCTCTCTCTTTTGCAAAATAATCTTTGTACATCTAGTTCAGCAGGAACTCGCGATGAATTATCACAGTATTTTTTTGGATTTAGGTTAGCCTAAAAATTATTTGTCCCCAATCAAGCATATATATAGGTTTTTTGGTTTGATTCGTATCAAGTATCGATGTCCATTGGAATTCATAAAAATTCGCATTTACATATCATTCATCCCAAACTGGGATCCGCGAGCATTTCAAGTGTCAAGTAGCAATTTTGGAGCCGTATGGCAGCGGACTTTTCAAGAAGCGGCCGGCGTGCATTCGCCACCCGGGGAGGATTTTTCTTCACTTATTGGTCCTCGCAGATTATCAAGGAATAGATTACGTACTGATTTTATATCGTGAGATAGTCCTCATCGCGGAGTGCCCCTTTGTAAAAAACCATTGAAGCAGATAACTTCCAGCATTTGTAAAGAGACTTTGCCCTAATGAGGTCAACTTTCACCAATATTTTTTTCAGATTTATATGGACTTAGGCTTTGTTAGGGAAATTACTTTTCTGAGCATTTCATGGCTGTTACCTTATATCCAAGGACGGATTATAGTAGCGAGAAAACAGTGACCAAGCTTATTCGTGAAGGAGTTAACCGTAAGCTGCCCCACATGCTCTAATACAACAAGAGTCTCTCGTACCATGTAAGAGTAACTTATATCAACATTAAATTCTGATTATCTCATCCAAAGGACTTCTAGAATGAAACGCGAGAAGAAAGTTGCGCATCATTCTGTTGCTATCATAATTAACTCTTATTTTATATTAGGAAGTTTTACAAACTCTATATATAGTATATATGACTGAAGAGGGGTGCAAGGGGATATGTGAGGTGATATTTGAATTAATCGGTGGCGTCATTAACTGCAAATATTAGTATTTAATGAACTTGCGGAAAGTCTTTGCACATAATGTTGATATGCCTAATTTCATCCACAAAGAGCCCCAATAATCAAATAGCAAGTCCTGCGATTTGTACCATATTCGTTTTATTACACCTTATGTTTTGGTCTTATTTAATAGTTTTTTTGATTTACCACGTCTCGGAACGAGGTTGATCTTACCGCTGGAATCTTGAGCAAGCAAACGGTAGGTGAGATGGTTTGTTTACCAGTTGGCTCATCCTATATCTCTCGAGCACAAGACGCCACCGCTTTAAATGATAGGATGAAACTTGGAAAATCCAAGCGACGACAAATAAACTACGAGAAAGAGAGCTTTAAAGAAGAATGCATACACTATTCTGGCACCCTACTACCGATCAAAGATGAGTACTATGAATAACGGTGCTACTAATAAGCGCAGTAGGATACGCTAAACATGAACTCTTTATTGAATATCGAAGCAGGAAGAGAAACAAGCACTAATATATTACGTCCAGCAGATATATCGAACATTGATAGAGGACGCGAGATCATTTTAACCTTTCAAAATTTCTTTTTTTGATTTGATAGTTTCAGTCCAAAGGATCTAGAGGGATAACTACAAAGCAGTCTCAATAATTATCTGCTCAGGGTATCACATATATGTCCATTGCTCTAAAAAATATAATGTTATAAGAAAACTTATATAGATTACCTTTGGGCTGGCATAAGAGAAAAAAGTGTACCTCCCATTGGAATGGTTTTACCCGCTCCAAAGCTAAGTTGGTCTGGCTCGGCTTTGGTTCATATAGACCATTAGAAAGAGAAACTACAAATTGTTATATGGATGCCTCGCTATAAATAGATTGATAAAGTACAGAGAATATCTTCAATGGTATGTTGGTACATTTCTTAAGGAGGCTATTTATATGCCTTAAACCATGACACATTAACTCGCCTTGGAAGATATGTAAATGGACAGACAAATCTGTTATAAAAAACACATAGGTCTGTGTTGTTTTCGCTAGGGAGCACAAAAAGTCGACCTTCAACTCGGAGGAAGACTTAACTATACATCCGGTGCATATTAAATCCACAAAAATTATGACGTTTCGCAATAAACTCCTCATCTATTTTTCACAGCCCCCAATAAAAAATTAATTACATACGAAGCCACTTGATAAATTTCGCGTCGACAAAGGTATTTAATAATAAAAATTAAATAAAAATAATAATATTATTAATATATTATTAACCAAACTTATAAGTAGCAAGTATTAATTATTATAATTAAATCCAACGGTTTACATGCATACCAAGGAATAGTCTAATGGTAGATACATATACGACTTGATAATAGACGGTTTATATTAAATAATAGATAGAGAAATTTTCTATTATTTACAGTAGTTTTACCCTGTTGAGAAATTAATTTTAATTTAATTAATCAATATATCAGATAATTATTGATAATAAAAATAATAAATTTTAGAAAATAAATTATAATTAGAAGATTATAATTATCATATTATCATTGTTGTTATTAGAAATTTTATTTGTAAAATTTAAATGTACATTCAATAGATTATAAATTGAATTTGATTTGTTTCTTGTTTTTTCAAATTGTAATGTTTATTTCCTTTAATTGAATATATATAAAGGAAGATTTTTGTTTTAAATGCATAAATTAATTTATCCTTATACATTTCAAGACAAATTTTGTGAGAGACACATTGTAGGTTCAAAGTTACAAATTTCAGTAACATTATACACTTTTACATTAACAAAAATAATTTTAAGATATTTTAACTTTTATATGTAAAATATTGATTTGATGTATTATTAATATAATTTTAAAAAATAATAATTTTATAAATTTTAACTACCCAACAAATGTTTAAGCGATTAAATTTTACAAGTTTAAGTTTTTAATAGATCAATTTTACAAATTAAAGTGTTCAATAGGTATAATTTTATAAATTTATTCTAGGAATCAAAATAAAAATTAAAAGCACTATTAGATTTTTCATGGAAAATGGAGTAAATGCATAAAATATCCCTTCATAATATATTTGGCACCTATATTGAATACCTCTTTTTTCAGTAGTAATAATTAAATTAGCCAACCACCTCTCTCCTTCATGCTTTAATTTCCACCACTATATATTTATTTGTCATCACGATCCCTTCATAATTAACACAAGAGACGGAAAAAGATTATGGCAAAAAGATACAATTTTTTGGTATTTTTAGTTCAAATTTTACTACTACAGACTTATAAGATTGATGCCAAAATTTCAGCAATTATAGTTTTTGGTGATTCATCAGTTGATGCTGGAAATAATGATTATATTCCAACGATGGCAAGGAGCAATTTTGAGCCGTATGGCAGGGACTTTCAAGGCGGCCGGCCCACCGGGAGATTTTCCAATGGTAAAATTACTACTGATTTTATATCAGAGGCTATGGGGCTGAAACCAACAATACCAGCCTTTTTAGATCCAGCTTACAATATTTCAGATTTTGCTGTTGGAGTTACTTTTGCTTCTGCTGCTACTGGCTATGACACTGCCACTTCTGACGTCCTAGTAAGTATATATTTATTTGCCACGGTAGAACGCAGTGTAATATAATTAAAGACATTTTTAATATAAATTTATATTTTATTACGGCTCATCAAATATAGTATTAATGAACTTGCGAAAGTGCATTTGAGCCATAAACCCAATAATCAAATTACACTCTTTTTGTTTTTTTTTTTTTTTTTTTCAGTCAGTGATACCCTTTTGGCAGCAACTGGAGTTTTACCAGAACTATCAAAAGAGACTAAGGGCTTATCAAGGAGAAACAAAAGCTAGAGAAACTATAACAGAGGCTTTGCACTTAATAAGCATAGGAACGAATGATTTTGTAGAGAACTATTATGCGATTCCAGGAGGCAGATCATCTCAATATAGCATTGGACGATACCAAGTTTATCTTGCAGGAATTGCTGAAAATTTTATAAGAAAACTTTATAGTTTTGGTGCTAGAAAAATATCCCTTGGAGGTTTACCTCCAATGGGGTGTATGCCATTAGAGAGAACTACAAATGTTATGGCTGGTTATGATTGTGTTCAGAGCTATAATGATGTGGCTGTGGAGTTTAATGGCAAGTTAAACAGTTTGGTTGAGAAGCTTAACAAAGAACTTCCTGGAATCAAATTGGTTTTCGCAAACCCATTTTACATTTTCTTGCAAATCCTCAAATATCCTTCAGTCTATGGTAAGCATTTAGCTTTATAAGTCCTGTTTGATAAGTTTTTGTATCAACTTCATTTAATTTTTTATCCTCTCAGTTCATCAGAAATTACTGTAGGGGGAAACAGATAGCTTAATTTGAACATTGGATTTTTTTTATTAAAAATACACAAATTCTTTTTTCAACTTAGAAATCCTGAAGAGATATCACAGTACTGTTGCATTTAATAGTCAGCATCAAACCTGGGTGAGTGTACTTAGTGGTTGATGGATATTTAATGAGTTCACAGATCATATATCAATTAGTATAGATGCATGCAGGTTTGTATTTGCTTTGGTACCAAATGTCACTCGGCAGGCCAGCCACGTATTTTCTGAGGGTCTTAACATAATATATGATTATAAAGGCTCGACTTGCAATATACATAAGGGTTTAGCATATTCGATTCTAGATTCAAGGCCTTTGGGGCATGGAAGGCATAGAACTGTTTTATACCGAAAGTTTTACCTATGGAGAGATGCACACTATAGGCGTTTGGCCCTATAGTGCCCACAAAGCTCTTTTCCTATGGGGATATCATCTCCTCTTACTAGAGTATAGATGATGTCTGCAACCTAGCTCACTTAAGGGTCGGTCCTGCATACCAATCCTGGAGCAGCAGAAAGCATTATGCTGAGTCTCCGCTAGCATGCCCTTCGACTGTCTACCATCCAACATATTATTCTCGTCTCCCATGGCCTTATAATTTTCCTTAGGCCTATGACATTAGATCAACTTCAAGTTTCACATATAATTTTTTGCATTCTCAATATTATATTTTTTTCTATATACGTATGTAGGGGGTAAGCATTTAGTGAATCCAGTTAATCAAAACTAATACAAAATGAATATACTAATTTTTTTAGATGTAAATCAAACTTAACTGAATCGATTTAATTTGAACCATTTTTGTTATTTTTAGGATTTGAGGTGACTTCAACGGGATGCTGTGCAACAGGGATGTATGAGATGGGATATGCATGTGCCAGAAATGGTGCATTTTCATGCACAGATGCAGACAAGTATGTGTTTTGGGATTCTTTCCATCCCACACAGAAAACAAATCAGATCATTGCTAATTATGTGGTCAAGCATGTGTTTTCCAAGTTCAATTAATTATATATTATTGTCCCTACTTTAATTCTCATGTATTAATTAATTATAAACTTATTTTGTGTTATTATATAATTAATTTCTCTCCAACCACGAATGATTTTTGTGTATTGATTTGATCTTTGTCTTTATGGTTCATGTTCCTGTGAGTTTTTCTTTTCTAGATTTATTGTCGGATGAAATGAAACTAAACATGAAGAGGGAAAGTGTCTGCAAACTTATTTTTCTGTGGATTTACTCAAGATATTAATTACCTTTTATTAAAGTTTATAATTTTAATATATACTGCTAGATCAATATAAGATGTGTTTGGATTATTATTTTTTAGCTGTAGCCTTGTTGGACAACAGCATTTAATATAATTTATAGTATTTAATTAGGTCAAAATTCTATTTTTCATTATTTATAGTATTCGGTGGTATAGTATTTACACTAATATTGAATTTGAGGGAGCGGATTATGAGACATTATTTCTTTTAATGTTTGATGAAACTCTAATAAACAACTGACAACTAATTAAACAATTAATAACTATAAAAATAACTAATGTTACCTGACAAGATTAGTATGGAAAAAAGTACTTTGTTAGAAACATTAATTAAAAGTCTTATATTTCAGATGAATTTTATATATGCTAATCTAAGATGCATAAAAATCCTTACCCACGCATGGCATTCTGAAAATGTTTTCATATATCCGTATCTTCATATAAAATATGCTCTCTTTGTCTTAAAATATAAGTTCTTTTTAGTTTGTTATTTTGTCCCAAAATATAAGTCGTTTTATATATTTTAAAAAGTACTAAATGATGCTTTTCCAATATTGCCCTTGTTTATACTAAATACAAAAAATACTTCGCAAGCAACTATTGGTCTTAAGATAAAGGATAATTTAATCAAATTATCCTTGAGTTTGTTATAATCTAGGAGAATTAATTACTTCCATAATCCTTGTGCAAAAATCTTAAACGATTTATATTTTGGGACAGAGAGAGTAACTTTTATATAAGATTATATATGTAACCTATTTTTTCCACCAAATAAGTGTAATTTGATTAGCCTTTTCACATAGATAGAACTTAGAAGGTTTCAGGTTTGAGACCTCTTTAACTATAAGAATAAAGGGAATATTTGGACTTCCTAATAGATAAAAAAAAAAAAAAAAATCATTTTGCAATATTTTTTGCGTTTCCATTTTTGGGGTATGTGGATACAAATTAAACAGTGCTCCAAAACTTTTTTTTTTTCTCGAAAATATCTAAAACTATGTTTTATCTGAAAGGTAGTTCCAACTACAATATCAAAAACCCATTTTAATGTTATCCCAACTACTTGATAGGGGCTTAGGAATGGAACACTTGTCCTAACTCCATTGAAAGGAGATTACCTTTATAAGACGAGATCAACATATTCATATAAATGGGAATGCTCGTGAATTCAAAGAATCGCAATCAAACGATGAAAATAAATAAAAATTAGCTTATTCACAATTGAACGATTTTGGTTTTATTATCTCAAAAGATTGTGATATTTCAGGTGGGTTAATGTCAAACGAGGTAGTTATGTTAGATGGTTCATTAATGTTGCCACGTGAGAGACTTGATTGCATGTTTAGGGAGTCCATTAATTTACTTCAAGTACCCCATCCAAAGGGTTAAGTTGGTTGAAAAGATTTAATTTTATGGATTTAGAGAACCATACTTCAAAAGTTAGTAGGCGAAGTTTGAGAATTTAATTTCTCATGACCAAGAATAACTTTGTATGTAACACCCTCCACCCAGTCCCGTGAGACCCGACAACGGATGTCACATTCGGTGCCGGAAACACCATTTTAACTTAACATACAAATCATAATATTAGATTATGAATTAGAAGAATCATAATATATAGGATTATGAATTTAGAAAGTAATGAGTATTTCACAAGTTTAGCGAGTAAGTATATTTTTTGTTTTTATTTTTTTATTAGAATAATCATTTCATTTTCGGTTTTCATCTCTTTTTTTTCTTTTGGAAAAAAGATTTGGTTAAAAATCCTACAAAAAATACTGTAAGAATTTCCTTTAAAAACTTGGAGCTCGCCAGAACATCTGTGAATGCAAAACACTTCCCAATTAAACTCCAAACTCCCCAACATCTCCAAATAATCATCATAAACACAACACGACACTTCTTTATTTTCAAACTATTTAAATCCTCGAATAGCATTTTAATATTCATCAATTATTGCATTCAGTAATATAGGCAAGTCTTAAGTAAACTAATCATAATAAACTAATCATACCAACTCTCTTGAAATATTTTATATTCAATCATTTAATGAATCTTATGCTTATCTCCGAATATATACACCAACATAATTGCTAGTTACATGCTTAAGTTATAATTCAAATAACACAATCTCCGAAAATATAATACTTATATATGCCATAATTCTTGATTACATAAAGCTCAATGTACTACTACCACAATTGTCATTTCTGCTCTGATGCTACTCTTCTAGTCTTCAAGCAGTAACCACAGTCTTTAAGCAGTAACCACAGTCTTTAACTTGCGCGTGACAAAAATCAACGCGCTGAGTATAAAACTCAATGGTGCTCATAATTCACATATACTACTATAAGTGGCGATGACAACTTATCTAAAATACAAATTACATAAGATCATTAAATTTCAACATATATATACCATTATAGCCAAAAAATATCAAGATAACATATTAATTAATAACATAAAGAATTTTACTTCTTTCAAACTCAAAATTCATTACTTGATATTTATTATACCAATACAGTATACTATTTTATACCAATACATATACTATTTATTTTTAGAACCATGTACCGGAATATCATGCTTTGAAAATTCATTTGATAACATAATTATTAATTTTCAAAGTAAGGTTTACTAAAATAATATGATCTCATTTGTTTAGTTCAAATACTTTGAAAGCAATAAGACGATTATAAATATAAATATGTTCATTCTTTAGTTAAGGCGGCTCGTACTAATACCGAATGAACATAAGCAGATTTGATCGTGGCCTATGTTAGCACCACCCCCATCACACAATCGTGGCCTATGTTAGCGCCACCACCATCACACAATCGTGGCCTATGAAAGTGCCACTCCCATCACACAATCGTGGCCTATGAAAGCACCACCCCCATCACACAAATAAGTGCATCTTCCTATTTATAAGGGCTGATAACCTTAGCATATGATCATAGCTTCACATAACAAAATCAATCTGATCATACCACATTTCAATCATGCATAGTAGAGCCCAAATGAAAATCAGTCTTTCACAAAGGACTTTATTATTTAGTCAAAATTCTTAATCAAAAACACTTCATTACTTAATACCCATCATTTCAAAATTTCTCAACCTCAACTTTTACAACTTACAAAAAATTTTACCCACATTTTCAAAGGAAATATTTCAAAAAAAAAAAAAAAAAAAAAAAAAAAAAAAAAAAAAAAAATATATATATATAATAGTAATAATATATATATATATATACCTATATATATATATACTTAGTATAGGAAATTTCTCATAAATTCCTTTTCTTTTCAAACTGTTCTCTGTAACATCATTAATGAAATTTATCATAAGAAACCATTCAGATTTTCCTTTATTCAAAATTCAAAACATACACCTTAAATAACTATTTTTTTTAAAACTCTTAAAACAATGAAAGTTATCAAAATAATCATACTTATGTCATACTAATACCATACAAAAAAAATAATTAGTAAGCCTTATCACCCTAGAATGGTTTGGCCTCTTAATGGAAAACAAGGGAGGAATTTCCTTCTCCAACCAAGCATACTAACAGTAACTCTTATGCACCAAGTATCCATTTCTATTCCTCATCATTGCATGATCTTAAAACAATTCCACACTTTATCCCGAAATTTTCCAACAATTTTTCCATTTATATCCATTTAACATATCCACAATAACACTTTTCAAACTTATATCTTATTTTTTGTCAAATCAATCCTCAAATCATACAAATAATCAAAGAACCTCATCACAAATGATTTCATACATACATTGGTGTATCCAGATAAACCTATAGGCAAGGCATAGAAAATTTCCAGATTAAAATAATATAACCTTGACCTTTGCTAGGTTTTTAAGACATAACTTAAGTTATGTGTCTCCGAATTGAGTGATGTTTGATTCATTAGAAAGCTAAGACAAAATACTACAAATGTTATGAGGGACCACAGCCCAGATCAATCTTTAAGATGGCAAACAAAAGCTAGGAACACAGGCCAACAGTCCAGACCTGATTCAGCAGAACTAATTTAAATGTTTATCAAATTCCTACTTATCCAAACACTCAAATCAAACCAATCCAAAACCAGAGAAGTCTCAAGACACAGGGCAACAACTCTCATGAAGAACTCAAACTCCAGAACTAATCTTGTATTATAGTGGTCAAAAATGGGCCACTCAATCAGTGATGGGGCACTCAATTCAGTGATGCATATGGCCCAACATAACAGAGTCAGTTTGGGTGTTTCAATCATAATTTGAGCTATATATCTCCAAATTGGACCCAAGAGGATTGTTTGGAAGGCTAAGAAGTAGACCTACAGCTTTCATGAAGGACTTAGACACAAATGGAAAATTGAAATGGTCAAAAACTAGTCCTTAATCTCACCCAATAACACTTTTTCCCAAATTCAGCTTACTTTAACCATGAAAGACAAAGATACAAGGTAGAGATTTCTACAACATACTAAATACTCATCAAACATCATCCTAAGAGCATAAACCAACAAAGAATAATAAGAAAACTTAAGGCCTTATTCATCAATAGATTCTGTCACTCTTGGAAGATGAAGAAGAAAATGTTTTCCTCATCAATTCAACATATAAGCATTCTTAGAAATTTCCCAAGAACACAGTTACACCACCAAAGTTCAATAATCAAATCATTTCATATAAAATTCCAAATTTTCACAAAATAGTATACACTTCACAAAATCAAAAATAAAATTTTAACAAAGGAATTGTGTTTATGAACACTAACCTTCCAAACAAGCTTTAATAAGCTTTAATCAAAGCTTCTCAAGCTTTAGTCTTGCCCTTATCTTTGTTAAAAGGCTCTCCAC